TCTCCCTCTCCCACTCCCCCTGCTTGTGTTCCCTCTCTTGCTGTGTCTCTGTCAAATAAATAAATAAAATCTTTAAAAAAAAAAAAAAGATGCCTATTCTCCCCATGGTGATCTATAGATTTGATGCAATTCTAAAAAAATCCTAGCATACTTTTTTTTAGAAGAAATTGACAGGCTTTTTCTAAAACTCATGTGGAAATGCAAAGGGCCTAGACTATGAAAATAACTTTGAAAAAGAAGAAAGTTGGAAAATAAGCACTACCTTATTTCTAGACTCATTATGAATCTACAGTAATCAATATGATTGATTTTGGGACAAAGGTAGAAATGTATATCAAAGGAACAAAATGAAGAGTCCACAAATACCCACACATATATAGATAACTGGTTTTCGACAAACCTACAAAGGCAATTCAGTGAAGAAAGGACAGTCTTTTCAACAAATGGTTCTGGGACAAGTATGTATCCATATACACAAACATAAATGGTGATCCATATATTGTACCATATGCAAACATCAACTCAAAATGAATCACTAACAAAAGTACAAGAGGTAAAACTATAAAACTTCTTGAAGAAAACACAAGAAAAAATTCTTGTGGCCTTAGGTTAGGTGAAGATTTCCTAGATATGACATCAAAAGCAAAATCAAAACCATAAATGAAAAATTAAAAACCCGAAATCCTCAAAATCAAAAACTTCTGTTCTTTCAAAGACACTGTTGAGAGAATTAAAAGACAAGCTTCTGACTGCAAGGAAATATTTGCAAATCTTATATCTGATAAAGGACTTGTATCCAGAATAAAAAACCTTGCAAAATCAATAAGAAAACAGACACTCCAGGGACACCTGGGTGGCTCAGTCAGTTAAGCGTCTTCCTTTGGCTCAGGTCATGATACCAGGGTCCTGGGATTGAGTCCCGCATTGGACTCCTTGCTCAGCAGGAAGCCTGCTTCTCCCTCTGCCTGCCACTCCCCCTGCTTGTATGTTGTCTCTCTCTCTCTTTCTCTCTCTCTCTGAAAAATAAATAAGATCTTTAAAAAAAAAAAAGAAAGAAAACAGACACTCCAGTAAATAAGTGGGCAAAAGATTTGAAAAGATGCTCCACCAAAGAAGGAATACAAATGTCAAATGAGCAAATGAAAAGATGCTGAACATCATTAGTCATTAGGGAAATGTAATCCCACTACATCCCTCTGAGAATGGCTAAAATAAAAACAGTGACCATACCAAGTCCTGACAGAGTTGCGGAGGATGGAACTCTCATACACTGCTGGTGACAATGAAACATTGTGCAACCATGTTGGAAAAACAGTTTAGCACTCCTACAAAGTTAATTTTACAAATTCTTTAAGTAAATACACCTCAGTATTAGAGAAAGAAAACATATGTCCAAGCAAAGACTTATACCCAAATATTCATAGCAGCTTTATTTATAAGACTGAAAATAATCCAAATATCCATTACCAGGTCAACAGATAGAACAAATTGTGGTATATCCATAAAGCAGAATATTAGGCAACAAAAAAGAAGGAAATATTAACACATGTAACAAATGGATAAATCTAGAAATAATTTGGTTGAAGGAAAGAAGATTGGCAAAAAAGAATACACAATATATGATTCCATTCATATAAAATTATAGGGAAAAAAATTAATCCATAGTGACAGAAGATCAGTGGTTGTCTAGGAATGGGGTAGAGTAACAAGGACAGAAATACTGGAGAGAGATGGATGGGGCACTACAATGGGGTATGAAGAAGCTTTTTAAGGTGACGGATATGTTCATTATCTTGACTGTAGTATTCGATTTACAGGTACATACATATTAAAACTTATTAAAAGCAAAAATTTTAAATATGTATAGTATATTGCATGTTAATCATACCTGAATTATTTGTAGAATATTTATATATTCATAATTCTGTGATGCAATTAATTAGATGAAAGATTCCCACCATTATGTTCTTACAGTATTAAAAGATCCACACTATGTCTTGTCAAATTGGTCCATGGTACATAGAACCAAAAGAGAAATAATCACTTCCAATGAAATATATCCAAATATTTAGGGAAAGTTGATGTCCATTTCCTCCCAAAATACAGAAAAGAGTATATATTAGGAGAATGATTGGGGCGCCTGGTGGCTCAGTCGTTGGGCATCTGCCTTCGGCTCAGGTCATGGTCCCCGGGTCCTGGGATCGAGCCCCACATCGGGCTCCCTGCTCGGCGGGAAGCCTGCTTCTCCCTCTCCCACTCCCACTCCCCCTGCTTGTGTTCCCTCTCTCGCTGTGTATCTCTCTGTCAAATAAATAAATAAAATCTTTAAAAAAAATAAAGATCATAATGATATCTAAGAGTAACGGGTTATTTTAGGGAACGTGGCATGGCTGCATATCATTATAATAGGGCAAACTCTAGAGTAACAAATAATTTTTAAAATATTAATTTCTAGGAGCTCCCGGCTGGCTCAGTTGGTGGAGCATGCAACTCTTGATCTTAGGGTGGTGAGTTCAAGCCCCACCATTGGGTTTGGAGCCTACTTAAAAAACAAAACAGGGTCACCTGGGTGGCTCGGTCTGTTAAGCATACAACTCTTGATTTCGGCTCAGGTCATGATCTCAGGGTCATGAGATTGAGCCCCATGTCAGGCTCTGTCCTAGGGGTGGAGCCTGCTTAAGATTCTTTCTCTCCCTCTTGCCCCTCCCCCGTTTGCACTCTCTCTCTCAAAAACAAAACACACACAAAAAAATAAAATATTATGTTCTAGTCACTGACATTTTAAACACCTGGAAAATTTCTGGCTTCTGGCCCATTAAAAAATGTCATTACATAATGGGAAAAAAACTATAGCCTCCGGGGGAAAAAAATCTATATTACAATGTCAAATTGCTATGAAGATCTAACAACTGCACATTTCCACACCTATCGATGAGGTACATGGGAATTACCAATTATTATTTATATGATGAGAAAAATGTTTATATTTATTGCAAATGCATATTAAAGATCAACTTCGACCTATAACTATATGGTCAACTAATCTTTGACAAAGCAAGAAAGAATATCCAATGGAAAAAATCTCTTCAACAAATGCTGTTGGGAAAACTGGACAGCTACATGCAGAAGAATGAAACTAGACCACTTTCTTACACCATGCACAAAAATAAGTTCAAAATGGATGAAAGACCTAAATGTAAGACAGAAAATTATCAAAATCCTAGAGGAGGACACAGACAGCAACCTCTTTGACTTTGGCTGTAGCAACTTCTTACTAGACACATCTCCAGAGGCAAGGGAAACAAGAGCAAAAATGAATAGGACTTCATCAAGATAAAAAGCTAAAGTGAAGGAAACAATCAACAAAACTAAAAGGCAGCCTGCAGAATGGAAGAAGATATTTGCAAATGACATATTGGATAAAGGGTTAGTATCCAAAATCTATAAAGAACTTATCAAATTCAATACCCAAAAAACAAATAATCCAGTTAAGAAATGGGCAAAAGACATGAATAAACATTTTTCCAAAGAAGACATTCAGATGGCCAACACACACATGAAAAGATGCTCGGGGCGCCTGGGTGGCTAAGCCATTAAGCGACTGCCTTCGGCTCAGGTCATGATCCTGGAGTCCCTGGATCGAGTCCCGCATCGGGCTCCCTGCTCGGCAGGGAGTCTGCTTCTCCCTCTGACCCTCCCCCCTCTCGTGTGCTCTCTCTCATTCTCTCTCTCTCAAATAAATAAATAAAAATCTTTAAAAAAAAAAAAAAAGAAAAGATGCTCAACATCACTCATCATCAGGAAAATGCAACTCAAAACTACAATGAGCTATCACTTCACATCAGTCAGAATGGCTAAAATTAACAACACAGGAAACAACAGATGTTGGTGAGGATGCAGAAAAAGGGGAACCCTCTTACACTGTTGGTGGGAATGCAAACTCTGGAAAACAGTATGGAGGTTCCTCAAGATGTTAAAAATCGAACTAACCCTGAGATCCAGCAATAGCACTCTAGGTATTTATCCAAAGGCTACAAAAATACTGATTCGAAGGGATACATGCACCCCAATGTTTATAGCAGCATTATCAACAATAGCCAAACTATGGAAAGAAACCAAGTGTCCATCAACTGATGAACGGATAAAGAAAATGTGGCGCGTATATACAATGGAATATTGCTCAGCCATCAAAAAGAATGAAATCTTGCCATTTGCAATGACATGGATGGAGCTACCGTGTCTTATGCTGAGCGAAATAAGTCAGTGAGAGAAAGACAAATACCATATGATTTCACTCATATGTGGAATTTAAGAAACAAAAGAGATGAGCATAGGGGAAGGGAAAAAAAGAGAGGGAAGCAAACCATAAGAGACTCTTAATGATAGAGAACAAACTGAGGGTTGTTGGACGGAGGTGGGTGGGGGATGGGCTATATGGGTGAAGGATATTAAGGAGGGCACTTGTGATGAGCACTGGGTGTTGTATCTAAGTGATGAATTAAATTCTAAATTCTATTCCTGAAATCAATACTACACTATATGTTAACAAATAGAATTTAAATAAAAATTTGAAAAAAAGGGCGCCTGGGTGGCTCATTCGTTAAGCGTCTGCCTTCGGCTCAGGTCACGATCCCAGGATCCTGGGATCGAGCCCCGCATTGGGCTCCCTGCTCCACGGGAAGCCTGCTTCTCCCACTCCCCCTGCTTGTGCTCGCTCTCTCTGTCAAATAAATAAATAAAATCTTTAAAAATTTTTTGAAAAAAAAGAGCAACTTCCTTCACCAACTAGACAATTATTTTTCAGCAAAAAAAAAAAAAGGCTTCTCTAAGATGAACCTCAGGAATTACTACACAGCCTGTAGACACTGAAGGAATAAAATTCCACCTGTTAAACCTCTTCTGCCATGATGAGATCAAAATAGCTCTCTATTTTTAGACTAGTTTGTGAACCTCACAAGAGCTATTCCACATCATGCTTTTGTTCAGATCTATGCACTCACTTGAGCCAGGCATCAATTTCCACCAGGAGAGTGGAACTTCTGTTGGGGTCTCCTGAGGACTGCTGCCCTTGAATCTGGAGTAGAAGCTTCTACAGCCATCAGGACACAGATCCTCAGAACCTGCCTTCTTCAAGCACCTGATATGAGTTGCATGAAGAGCTGCACAGGGAGAGACAGATCCAGCAATCACTATGATTTACTGGCCTAAGTATGTGCTCAGCACCATGCCAGGCACTGGGTTAGTGGCAATGACACTGATACAAACTGCATCGTGATCGTAACCACCACGTTTTAATAGGCTTCTCACAGAGCCTTTTTCTCCTCCTTTCCTAGTTTATCCTCCAACATCAAAGGTGAAAAGGAGTGAGAAGTGGCCTGAATTCACACAGACATTCATGATCCCACAGTAACCACCGGGCCATGGGCTTGCTCATGTGTATCACTGTTCTCAGCGATCCTGTGGGTGAAGCTTTCTCATTCCCATTTTACAGCGGGAAAGCTGGGGCTCAGGGTCGTTATTTGTCTTACCTCCTGCGCCCCTGTCTTTAAAGGAAAGCATCCACAGGACACCCCCTCGAGCAGAAACCACACTAACTGGGGCCGGGCGAGATCCCAATGGTTTTACCTACGAGACAGCCATGGCACCGACTCCCAACGCGGGTAAGAATCAGCTTGGATCTGGATCCCTTTGCTCACACCTCAGGGCGGTTCAGCCCCCAGCGCGAGGACCCACACTTTCAGCAGAGCCCCAAACACCTGAAGGCGGAATCCTGTTGTTCTATCGAGGGCACGTCCGTCTCTATTAAAAAGTCGTCACGGTCGCCATATTGACGTCAGGTTTCTATGGCAACCGCGAAGCGTGGGCTAGTCCTCCGCATCTGCCTGCTTCTACACACTCCTCCACCCCTCGCCCATAGCTGCAAGCTAGCGCCTGACTCTTCAGGCCGTCACGTGAGAAAGCACAGTAATTAGAGGCACCAGACTTGGTCTCGAACGATTCGTGGAACTCTCCCCTTGTTGATGGAACAAAGCATGTCCCTGTCTTCAGGAATTTTGCTTCTTTTGAAGAAACACTGGGGGAGTATTATCAGTACACAGAACCCCAGGGAGATATCCTAGGGTTCTTGAAGATAAGCTAGACCTTGGAGGGTAAACATGAAAATCAGGGCCACGCTAAGCCGTTAGCCATCTGTGGCAGAAAACTGAAAGATTGTCTATAATAATGTGACTGAATGATCTAGATACATATGCCAATAATGTCATTTCAGAAATCTCAGTAATTTCAGGGAGGCAGGCCTAAACTATTACAGTCAGTTAGTAGGCAGACACCTAGTCAGTTGTACCATGCATTGTTTTTCCTGGAGAATTCTTATCCTCCATTTCCCATATTTTCTTCCAGGTGTAGGGACATCTATAACCAAACACACTTGCTTCCGTCTCAAGAGAATCACTTACCTGATTAATGAGGTTGGAAGGACAAATGGGTTGCACAGCCCAAGCCCTCTCCCTTCAAAACTCTTGTAGCAAGCTGCCCTTATGGAGCACATATTTTCCTCTGCCCTCAAGGATGGGTCTAAAAATAGACTCCCAGCTCTTCTCCCCTTTTCTGTGTCTTGTCTCCCCAGGTGTTCCTATGGTCTTGTTCCAAAATGTTTGGGCCTTTAAGGGATCTCCAAAATACACCCCTTCTCCATATCTGAGTTCTAAACCACCTAAAAATGTGATAAAAATAATAAGGATAAAAGTATATCTACTTTATTTTTTATAAAGATGATATTGGAGAATGTGGCTTAGATTTGCCACAAGGGAATTAGGCTTCCTATTAATGAACCCCAGAACTGGGCAAACATTACTATCCAGCAGTGCTGCACAAGGACAGTCAGAAAGGGCAAGGACTGCAATGCATATGTATCTGCTGTCTGATGAAGGAGTTCTATGTGTATTCAAGAAGAGTGGCTTCCTTGTGAGGCTCTCTCTATAGCAGGAAAAAGTATTTCAGGACAGTTTCTTTGAGAAAACTTCTTGAGATGATTAAATAGTCCTTGTTCTAATTACGTACTCACCAAGCCACCTTCTGAGGATATGGTTCTCCATGTGTCTCAGGGAGCAGCTTGAAGCATTACCCTATCATTTCCTTGACAAGCATGATTGCAGGGGAATCTCTTCTTGTAGAAGGGGATTGGAATAAATTTCTAAATTCCAAGAATAGGATGACAATCATACATCATGAAAATTTTTGTTGGAAATCCCTTCAAGAAGGAATTGAGGAAATGTTCAAAATCTATACCCACACTTAAACTCACACACTAACCATAGCCAAAATTATAACTAAGTCCTACCAAACTTTCAAGAATAACCAAATCCCTGTCATATCCAATGATTATAGACCACAAAAAAAAAAAAAAAGAGTTCACTAAAAGCACGTTTTGGATATCCATTTCTGTTTAACAAACACCACCAATAGCCAATTTTTATCCCTCAGGATTCTGTGGGCTAGGTTGTTTTCTGCTCCATGTGATATTTGTCACCCGGGGCTGCAGTCATCCGGAGGCTCCACTCAGCTGGGACATCCAATCACTCACGTGGGCCATTGGTGTTCATTGTTGCTGGGGATTCAGCTGGGGCTGTTCACTGGGGCACCTTGGTTCTCCTCCACAGAGTCTTACTTGTGCACGGTTGCCAGATAAAATCAGGACACCAAGTTAAATTTGAATTATAGATAATTAACAAATAATTTTTGTGTAAGTATTTCACATGCAATGTCACTTTGTTTACCAGAAATTCAAGTTCAACTGGGCATCCTGTACATTATTTGCTAAATCTGGCAACCCTAGGAGAGGAGCCTATGTCAAATGAGCATATTCATTTTCTGAGGCCCATATTACCATGACTTAATGATTTGAACGGCCTTAATACAGAAGTCTTATTTTTACCAACAAGGGAAATTCGTGTGAGGGTTTAGAGAAGGATCCCCAAAGTGATTCTGAGGTACAATCTGGTTAAGGGGCCTTGGGTGACAGGGAAGGTCAGGACCAATTCCCTGTTTCAAAGAGGAAAGATAGTTACTATTTATGGAACAGACTGTTTTGAGGGGCCAAGATCCAGGTTCTTCATGTTAGTGGTGGGATTTAATCTCACAATAGCCCTGCTAGTGAGGTATCACTATTCTCTCTTCATAGATGTATGTTATTCCAAAGCACATGCTCCTAAGCACAGACACAGATGACAAAGAGATTGTTCCCCATGCCCACTGCCAGAGTCAGGGATGGGACCTGGCAGTCTGGGCACTGTTAGTCGCTGGTGGCAAGTTTTAGCAAAGGTATCAGGACACATTCTGTTGAGGTGGTTAATCTCTGTTCTCCTGGTGTTTACCCTCCTTGCTGCAGGGAGCCAGGCTTGGTGCCTCTTTCCCCTGCTTCAGGGGAGGTTGGTGAGGGGACTGGAAGCAGAAGCTGTCTGAAGCCTGTGTTTCTTTCATCCTTTGTGAAAAGTTAAATTTATGGAAATGATTGGGCTGCTTGTACCTTGTAGGGAGGAAAAGGCCTGTGAGGACACGGAGAAGGAAGTATTCTCTCAGAGAGGGAAGAGGTTGGAGGTCTACAGGTCTTTTCAGGAGTAGGTACACAAGCTGTGCTCCATAAACACAGGGTGTGACTCCGTGGATGGTCCATCAAGGCTGGGCATCTAGATGTGATAGATTTTTCTAGTATGGATCCAGAGATAGATGAAGAAAGAATGGGATTCCAGCTTTTCTCCTAATTACAATATATCATGCATTCTCAACAGAGGTGACATCGCCCCCCAAGGGGCTCAAGATTGGTTCTTGGGGGTAGAATTTTCATAGATATTACAATGGTCTGTGAACCTTCAAGGGACCACAGTATACAAACAGATAAACTACATTTGTGGTCTTAAAAATGTCATATTCCACTGGGGAGTGGGGTTGCAGGTGATTCAGCAAGAAAATGTCTGAAAAGACTCCTTGAGGGGGGCGATAATGAAAGAAGGTTGACGAACACTTCATATACACAGTGACCTTTTATGTATCTGATGGGCCACCAGGAGTTAGGGACAGGTCATTTAAACTTCCCCATGGGTACTCACTCAACAATCACTCTTGGTGGTGACAACGATGGTAACGGTGATGGTGATGATGATGATGATGATGATGATGATGATTATAGAAATGAAATCCTGCACCAAAGATCAAGAGAATTGGCTATGTGGATTGTTGTTGGTTTTTAAGATGATAAATAGAAAAGGATCAGTCAGAACAGGTGTTTTCTCTGGGAAAGAGGATATGGAGGGTACGAAATTAATGTTTATAAAATTAATGTAAACAAGTGGTATTCTAAACTGTAACCTCCTTTAATCTTTTTTTTTTAAATAGGCTCTACACCCAATGGGGGGCTTGAACTCAAGACCCCAAGATCAAGACTGAGCCAGCCAGGCACCCTGTAGTTTCTCCTTTAATCTTAACACTTATTCAAGTTACCAATTTAATCCTGTAATTCAGATCATGATAAGAAGTTAGGAGAGGTTAAGTAAATCGGGGAAACTGCTCTGAAAGCCTGTTCGGTAGTGGAACCTGGAATTACTCTAAAGTTTTCCCCATTGTGTCCTGAAGCTGCCAAGGCTCTGAATGCTCTAATCTCTCTGGGCACTGACATTTGATGCTGCCCAAAGTGTTGTTTAACTTATTAATAACGACCTCTGTTACTTTTAAATTATACTCTTATTGTGAATTTTATTTGTTTTTTTAAAAAGGTTTTATTTATTTATTTGAGAGAGAGAGAGAGAGAACAGCAGGCAGAGAGAGAGGGAGAAGCAGGCTCCCTGCTCAGCAGGGAGCCCAACGTGGGACTCTATCTCAGGACCCTGGGATCATGACCTGAGCCTAAGGCAGATGCTTAACCTTCTGAGCCACCCAGGAGTCCCAGATGTTATTGTGAATTTTAAACCACTGTGAAAGGCAAGTCTTCATTCCCACTGCTTACTACCCCAATTTGGGTCTCTTGGAGATCTTGGGAGGAAGTGAATGTGGAGATACTGCTCTGTGGGCTTCAAAAAACATGGTAAATATTAGAAAAATACTGCAAAATATAACATTGGGGAGTTTTCAATAACGTAGGTATAATTGATAACTGTGTAGATTTCAGTGTAGATATAATAAATAAAGCTAATATAGCATAAAGGGGGAGGGTAAGGGGACCATTAAGGTGAGGTTTCTATTATCAGTTGAAGTGGTAAAGTATTGATTCTAAATAGATTATGAGAAATTAAGTAGGTAGTTTGTAATCCATAGAACATCCGCAAAAATGTTATACAAAGATATATTCAACATCACAATACTAAAAAGCATTCAAATAAGCCAAAAGGCAAGAAAGAGGAAACAGGATAATGAAAAACAGAGAGGACAAAAAAAAATAGAAATGTAATAGATCTAAATTGAAACATCAATAATTACATTATTTGTCAATGGTCTAAATACATAACCAAATGACTGAGACTGTCAGAATGGATTTAAAGAACAAAATAAAGAAGACCCAACTATATGCTGTCTACAAGCAACTCTTTTCAAATATAATGATACAGGTAGCTTAAAAGTAAGAGGATGAATGAAAATATACCATGCAAACATCGATCAAAAGAAAGCAGGAGCATCTACGTTATCAGACAATTTAGACTTGAAAGCATACACAATTACCAGAGACAAAGAGGGTCAGTCAATTCACCAAGAAGATATAATAATTTTAAATGTGTACTGTATTATATCTAACAACAATCTCAAAATACATGCAGCAAAAGTGATAGAATAAAC